ATATTTGTAATATATTATATTATATGTTATTATATGTTCACACACATATACATGTGTGTATATAAAATTTTTGGCTTTGCTTAGTGGTTTGACAGTACAAGCCAGGGGAGCGCACCTAGTCATGAAATGCCTACTTCTGAGATCACCCATATCCTTTAATATATGAAATTTCTAATGATCATCTAATCACAGGTAGGATTTTTTTAAACTAAGAATAAAAAGGGCCCACTTTATTTGATGCTTGTACCTTCTTTATTTGTCCAGGTGTAGTGTGTATCTATTAAACTAACAACTGGGCTAGCCTAAATACTCGTGAGAACTTGTTTCCGATGCTTTGAGTATAAGAAAAAAAGCAAAACCGACGATCATTTCTCAATTATCTTTCATGCGTTTTGCATAAAAACATGCTGATGTTGAATAACTGTGGGTTTATTTCTAAGTCCTCAACAAATGCAGTAAAGTGCATTATTAAAAGGACTCTGGAGCCATTTGCGTAGTTTGTAGGTGAAAGTATGGGCTTATATATAACAGAAGAATCAGACAATGGAACAGCAAGTATTTATATGTGATTTTTGTAGGTATTTTTAAGAGCAATCAAACACCTAATCACACTGGAAGAGCGATGCTCTACCAGAAACTTTTCGTGCTCTGTGAAGTAATTTATTCCAACCTGTTCAGTATGCTGCAATGTCTCTGACACAAGGCATGAGAGCCCAGAGAGTTAGTGTGTGGGGTTTTCTTGCTGTTGTTATTGTTTTGTTTGTTTGTTTTTCAGATTTCCTTGGTGTGTACTTTACCTTAGTCTGTCAATAAGAAACAGTCTTTCTTACATGGGGCAGCCTTGTCTGTCATGCTGTCATTTCCTGAGGTGACTCCTTCCTTCCTCTCTTCCTGGGGAAAGAAACCCCGGTAATTGTCCTCTTTTATACAGACATTTCACGGCACATGGACAGCTCTTTGGCAGTGTGATTGGGCAAAATGGCATGATAAAAACGTGACAAATGTGTAAAAGGCAACCCAGCAAGACCTAACTGTTCTGAATCCTATGTGGGTGGTAAGATGGTGAAGGTAGCCATGCTCAAAACATTTTCAGCTGATAACAGAATAAGCATCAACAGGGGAGAGAAAAGGACTTCGGAAAGCGCCCCCCCCCCCCACACACACCACAACACACTTGGGGCTGAAAGACTGAGCAAAGGAGAAAGAGAAAAGCTTAGCACATGGTCAGCACTTCGGAGTCAAGAAAGCTGCTGAGGGAAGAGCAACAAGTCATGACAGTGTGGGATTTGAAGATTGAAAATTAACCAGCAGATTTGAAAACAGGGATGGCACGGATGAGGTCTGTGGCCAGGGTGTGGCTGGGGGACTCAGTAACTGAGACGTTAGCTGCGTGATGTAGTGTGATATACCGGGGCGGGGTCGATAGTTTGGAGGTTGAATACCTGAGGAGCACATGCAAGGTCCCGTCTTCAATCCCAGTACAGAAGGTTGCTTACACCAATATCCTAGGAGCATGTGACACGATGGTGGCTGTGATGTGACCACACAATAGGACTATTTTAGCCCCCTTACAGACTCCCAAGACTGTGGTCCCGTGGGTGATTCCCATATCTGTACAGCGTCCCTTGCACAGATGAGGGTACTGAGATATGGGTCGATATTGCGAGCTGCCTTCGAAGGCAATGTCGCCAGCTGGCAGCACTCTGGTTTAATCCTGGGAAAGTTACCTATACGCATTGCTCGGTCTCAGTTCCACTTGATGCCGTAAGTTGCCACAGCTTCTTTTCAGTGCATGTCCCACCCCACAAACTCATTCGGGGTTCATAATTTGTGTCGGGGGCCCAGACTCCACGTGCCACCTTTTACTGCCAGTCATTCGAGTAGCTTCGTGGCGACACTGAAAAGCAGAGCCATCATAGTCTCTTAACTCCAACATTTAGTCTGGGGAGCAGGTTGCACCCAAAGAAGGAAGAATCATTTTTACATTAAAATATAAAAGAGGAGCCAGGCACAGTGGCACATGCCTCTAATCCCAGCACTCAGGGGTGCCTTGGCAGGTGGATCTCTGTTGGTTGCAGGGTAGCCTGGTCTTCAAAGCAAGTCCAGGACAGCCAAGGCTACACAGAGAAACCCTGCCTTGAAAAACAAAACAAACAAACAACAAAAAGATATATATATATATAATCAAACCTAGCAAGAAAGCTAAAAAAAAAAAAAAAAAAAAAAAAAGATGCTCAGAACTGAGTGAAATTATAAACATGCCTGGGGACCCAGATGAGTCAGTATGCATAAACAGAACAATAGGTGTACAGGGCCTCAGTGAAGCGACTTCCATCTCTTCTATGTGATGTAAATCACCCTGTGTGCACAGTGATACCCCACCTAGCAATCAGTCTGTAGAGAACATTGTCAATCCCTTATGTTACGCAACACCAGGCGCATCCTTTGCTTCTGCCTGTCGTCTTTCTCTCTCCATATCCAGCAGTTAGCACAGAGGCCTGAAATCCTTAGTTACGGAACAAAGTGGCTCAGGAGTAATGGAGCCCCTATGAGGTCCGAGAAGAATAATGAACATGCCCAGAAAGCTTCCTGCCTAGATGCAGGTGCAGAAATCGGGAGATCATGAATAATGCATGACATGCAGATTAGACAGTTTGTGCTAAGGTTGTTTTGTTGGGTTTTTTGTTGTTGTTGTTGTTGTTTTTGTTGTTTTGGTTTTCTTGCCTCTGCTACCTGCCTGGCTTCTGTATGTGGGAATTGGCAGATAACAGAGGGGCTAAAATTTAAAAATGGAACTCGCCCGCACTCGGCATGTCCTTTTTGAAGAAATGAAAGTTTAAGTGATAACTGATGTAGTCTGCATTTTTGGGTGAAGCAGGCAGCCTCAGAGGGAGAAGATATTTCTCCATTCATCTTTTGAGTTTAAGAAATGTTAGAATTATTTGGTCATGCACATAATCAGAAGGGTTTTCTTTTCTTTTCTTTTTTTTTTTTTTTGGTTTGGTTTTGCTTTTGCTTTCATTTTTGTTTTCCCCCTAAGATTGCTAAGTCATAAATGGAATTATGCATTTATAGTGTTTGATCTCGGATCACAGACTTTTTTCTCAGAGATACCACTGTCTAGAATGCTTTGTAATCATGGAAGAGTGACCCCTATGGGCAACAAGGACACCACATACTGTGAACATCCAACTTCAGCTGTTAGAAGTTGACCCTGTGGCACTTTCTGGTGTCTGTGTGCTTTGAGGCTTAGGGAGGACACAGTTAATGGTGAATGGTTTAAAGGACTTAGTGTGTAACAGAGAGCCAAATCCTTGGAGCAGATGACATCTGGAAATGTACTTAACCCTTAAGACCAACACCTCAGCAAAGACCTAGGAAAAGTCCCTGAGGTTTTCCTTTGGTCAGTGGCCTTATCTAGTTATCTGGGGAGTCACTCTTTGGCTTGGGTGAGGATTTGGCTCATTGTGAGGATTCTATTTCAAGAAGTCAGGACAAAATGAGTTTGGCTACCCTCTATGCCAGTCTTATATCTCTCTCATATGTGTATCCACATGTGAAGGAGATAAGTGTGTATCTTGAGATGCAGGAATAGGAGCTGGCTTTCATTTCTAGCTGACTCTGTCATTTCCGCCAGTCCCCAGTTTGGACAGCTGCCAAGACCAACAGGTGATCCTTGTAGCTGCCTAACAGCAGGAAGTGAGCCTTGCTTGAATGAGGCAGTTCAGCAGAGGGGCTATCTGGCCTCCCTCCATCTTTCTGAATAATTATCACCCTTCCCCCATGCCGAGCAGAAAATCTGTGCCGAGCAGCTCAGCTGTAGCCTCCATTGAGAAGCCTTGGGAGAAAAGGAGTGTTAATAAGGGGTGTTGGAGGAAATCAGCCATCAAGCTCAAAGTGCAATCCAGCTTCAGGTTTGAGAAGGATGGAGGTTGGCCTGGCAGAAAAGGCTGGCCTCATGTATTTGTTTTGATGTGATTTTCACTGAGTAGCCGGGAAGGGCTGAAGTTCAGATAGACCTCTGACTGCTGGTTGTAATGGAGCCTTTGGACCAATTAAGATAATACTGTTTCTTTCATCCTTCCTTGATTTCCTCCCCATTCTGTTTTCCTCCCTCCCCTTAAATAAAAGTAATGTATGGGATGTGAGGACTGAAGATGACTCAGGCTAAAGGAATGGCTACATCTCGGGATTCTTAGGTGAGCAGTCCAAAGCAAGAAGTGAGCCACAAGGTAGCTGAAGTAAGGCATGCAGCTCTGCCAGTTAGTACCTTGCGAAGGAGAAGAGGCTCAGCCGCTGGCCTCTGATTGGAAATACCAGCAGCTCCTGGAAGCTTTGAACTCAGACCCCCATGACCCCAACCCCAGAAGCTTGGAAAGCTCTGCGTGTACTTTTGTTACCTCCTGAAGTTTTGAATTCACTTTGCCTTCCCCAACTCAGATATAGAGTATAAATTCCAGAATGCCTGTCTCCTGGAAATAACTATCCACCCTTCTGTCCTGTCTTCTCCACACTCAACCCGTTCCTGGACACACGGATGAAGTCCTGCTGTTTTCTTAACTTTTACATTTAGAAATTGAACTAAATAATGGCTGCTTCTCTGCCTCTTTGTGCAATTTCTGTGGGAACAGACGTAAGAGGGCTCCCTGAGCACAGGTACCATGCCCTCCAAATATTTCGTGCACTCCAATCCCCAGGCAAAGATTACATCTTCTGTAACTGTGTCTTCTGCTAAAGGAGTTAACTGGTGGTCCTGCTTTCAGGACCTTCACAGTTAATATATGGCACCTTGTTACCTTGGAGAGATAAATAAAAAAGCCTTCAGGTTAGCAGGGACAGGAATGTAATGGCATCTATTTACTAAGAGATGGTCAAGTTCACAGAGGAGAACAAATGGAGGAAACCTAAGAGTTCATTGATATAGCAGATAGTGTCTGCTTTCCCATTTGCAGTGAGAAATATGTTTTCTCAATCACTGACTTCCTCTTGTCTGTTGACAGGGTACATCCATCCCCAGTATCCAGGGTCCGGGGAAATCGAATGAATAACCAGAAGTTTGCTTGGTGAGTACGCAAGTTAATTTATAAATATTTGTCAGTCTTTTATTGCTGTGGGTGTTTTGTTTTGTGTAGTGAAGCAGTGTCTCATGAATCCCAGACTTGCCTGGAATAAGCAAACAAACAAACATTGACAGAGTTCCTCTCCTGTTCAAACTCTTCAGTCACCAAAAAGACTCTTTGCAGTATTTCCCCCTTACAGATGTACTGAACTTCCGAGCATCATCCAATTCATCCGTAAAAACATGGTTCCTTTTTCACTTAGGACTTCTTAACGCAGACTTTTCTTAATGGTCACTTCCAGAATCTCACGAAAACTTCTAGCTAATTAATCTGTTTATTAAATTACTCTTCAGATGATCTTCCTTCCCTCTGGCCTTGACCTTGAATATTATTGACCTTTTTTTGGAGGGACAGGGGCAGGGGGAGACAATACAAAGATCTTTGACAACTTCTTGGATAAAAGTCTAAGCGGAACTTCCTAGAAATGGCATGATGTTGTTTTCAACCACAGGGCATTAGATAAGTGATTCTTTGAGGAGCCAAATTAAAGGACTTCAACAATGTTTTATGTGAGACCAAGAAAATAGATTAATATTGGTTCAAAAATCTGTTTCTTGATATTGCTGCCCAAAATTAGCTTTTCAATTCATAATAAATCGTGGAAAAGAAGATAAAAAAAAATGAAAGAACTGAGCCATGCACTATGTTATTTCAAACATGATTGGAAATTCATAGCTCTTTCCCTTATGATTTTAGATTATGCTTAGAACAAGATTTTGATTGGAAATATGATTTTTAGAAAAAATATGGGAGGTTGAGTGCCAAGAATTCCACTTCCATATTAATTGAATTCCTAAACCAGGTTTGTTTGTTTTTTTTTTTTTTTGAAATAAAAATGGCACTTTGAATAGTACCTGATCAGTTTGCCTCCATTCCCCATTAAATCTAATTAGCCCTCACAATAGCCTGCTGTGCTTGTGAAATATTAGGCTTTGCTTTTTCAGAGAGGGAAATGGAGCAGAGGATGAAACCTTTTGTTTGACTGCCCAATGCCTCGGCATTCCTGATGGTCACGCTTAGTCATTAAAGCGTGTTGTCCCCTGTCAGACCTGGGATGAGGAAAGAGCAACAAAGCCTTGAGATACAGGATGAAAGCAAGGGAGAGGCCAGTTCCAGGTTGGATGGCATAATGTCTGTATTCCTTCTCAGTTGAAGGTACATTATACCAAAGAAACCCTACTCCAGGAACAGAGAACTTGAGACACTCAAGTGAGCAACTTGAGCCAAAGATCCTAGGGAACACAGGCTGCCCCGAGATCTGGTTCCAACCCCTTTGCTCTGAAAGGCTGAATGGGAAACACTACATAGAGAATACGTTGCCTTTCTCTCCTTTTTCCTTTCTATACAAGAGGTAAGGATACTTTGTTCCTACCAAATTGTAGCATGTCATTTCGTAGGTTTCAGCTATTTTACCTCTAAATAAGTGATCCGTGAAAATAACCAAAAGGGATTTTACTGCTAGCCCTGAGAAAGTTCAGCTCATGTTTATTTAACAACATTTATTTATGTCCCAGGCACTGTTACAAGCACTAGATTAGAAAGATAAATAAAGCATGGTTTGTATCCTCGGAGGGCTAACTGCCTTATGGGGGAGGGGCCGTGTGTGTTTGTGTGACAGACAGCGAAGGCTCTTAAGTCCTGATACTCCCTGGCCATTCACGCTGCTGTTACATACATGCTCACATACATGTATGATAAGCATAGATTCTCTAATGCAATGTAGATGATACATGTGTTTGTAGTGTGGTGTTCATAGGGATCAATTATCACCTTTGTTTAAAACCAGTTGGAGAGTTGTAGTACTCAGGGGAAAATGTACAGGAAGAAAGAGACCTAGAAGTCAGTTCCAAAAACTAGACCATAGTGCTAGAGCTCTTGCCTGGCACACTCAGAAGTTCTGGACTTGACTCTCACTGCCAGAAAAGCAAAGGAAGAAGAAAATTCATCCCAGACAAGAAAACACTGGAGTAAAGATGCATTGTTAGTAGGGAAAACAGAGAGATGAGCTACTGTATCCTTTATAGATGCCATCAGACGTGGAGGAAGATAGAGACATTTGTAAATTGATCCTCACAGGAGCACAGATAGATTTAATAAATAAACTTGTTTGGTCAGGTGCTAGATAAAATGCCTATGATCTATACTACCTTGAATCTTCCTTAGGTAAATACTGTGACTCTGGTGTGTGGATAAATCACCCAGCAAGGAAGAAGTTATGAATCATCCTGCATCTACTCCTAGTGACGTGATAAATGGTTGATACTTGGTTGTGAAATACTGGCTGTGAAAGTTTCAGAAAGCTTAACTACCCATCTCGCATCAGTGAGAACATTCAAGAGATATTTACTCTCCTGAAAACAGAGGGCAGGCATAATTTGTAGAATAAGATGTCAAGTTCATCACTAGCTTGGCTCTGACTTCCGTTAGAACCTCAAATAGTATGCACGAGAGTTAAGAACTGTGAATTTGTGCATTTGGGCTAGCAAATGCTCCAACCAGTTAAAGAAAATTAAAAGCCATAAATAATGGAAAGGCTTGAACTTCCACTGTGGGGTTAGAGATAGCTCGCCTCAGTAGGTTCTGGAAGGCAATGCCTGTGCCTGACCGCTCCTAAGCCAGTGTTTATTATTGAGTAAAGCGAGTTTAAATGTTTTCAGTAGCATTTTTCTCTGCATAATGCTGACACGAGGAAGTTATCCACTAGCCACTTTCATGGTAGTGCCACTCTGGAGGGGAAGAAATATGTGACCACAGATGTCTTTTCAAAGCAAGCATCTGCCAAAACCAAAAGAAAATGTATTGACATTGTGTTCACGTCCAGGGATGGAACCAGAGGTCCAGGGCTTGTGGGGTCCAGGAACAGATGTTTGGATGCAGCCAGGTGTGAGCTGTGTGTTAACACCCAGGGATTAAGGAATGGCAGAAAGACCTCCCTACGAGGGATAGAAAAACAGCAGTAAGAGAGCTTGGGTCATGATCTGATTCATTTAATAAAGTGCCATCTGAAGAAAGTAGCCCTATCTGTGTCACTGCCTCCCACTGGGAAGTAGTTGCTGATTGGGGGGTTGTTGGCTTTGGGCATGGGAATTTCTTTCTCCATATCATGCGTCAGACTTTTCTTTTCTCTCTTTCACCATGTCCCTCATGAGGAGTGTCCATTAACTCCTTAGAGAGGAGAGGGGAGAATAGTTTCCTTTCTCGATCCCTTAGGTTCATTGGCTGAGACCCTGCCAATATGATGGACAAGAGCGAGGCAATCGTGAGCCAGCCAGCATGGATACTGGGATACAGACTCGGGTCCTCTGCCAGAGCAGCAAATGCACATAACTTCCTCGCCATCCCTCCAGCCCACAGCCGTATCTTTCTGTTTGCCATTTGTCACACAGACTCTTAAACCAAACTGCTCTGTTTTAGGGTGTCTTGTTCTGTTACCTTTCACTGTATAAATTTTTCATTAGAACATTTACTTCACTTTCTTGGACATGGTAATGCAGGAAAAAAAAATGTGATCTTCCAGGCAAGCAGGGCTGGTTCCCTACTCACACACTGAGTGTTAAGTTCTGTTTAACTCATTGTAGACATGTTTGCTGGAAGCTGTTCTCCGTTAGATTCACAGGAGAGAGGCTTTCTGAGGCCGAGTTCTACCATTATGTTCTCAAAGGTACAATACGGATAGGGAATCTGTGTGTTTAGGTGGGTGTGTATGGAAGAGCAGGACCAGGATGGGCTCTGTGGAGATTATTCTCAAACATACACTAGAGTTGGCTTATGCTGGGAGGATGCTCGGGTATGTGATCACCCCTGTGTATGCGCAGCCTTAGATTTCCACATGTTCTGCTACCTCTGTTTTCCCCACACACACACACCCTGCCCTGTTCCTAAAGGTCTAAAAGACCTGGGGACGTTTGTCATTCTTCGGTTGTGGTAGTGGTTGAAGGGAATCTCTGGATCATATGCCAAGAGTTGTATTGGTACTTGGTGCCCCATAATTGAGACTTCATGGGTTTTTTTTTATGCTGACATGAAAATGAGGCATCTCTTCTCATTAATAAAAATTACCCTCAGTAAAGCAGAAGTAATTTTCTCCATTGGATGTTGCTCTCACCATCTCAGTCACGATTTTTCTTTTACCAGTATGCCTGAGATTGCACAGACACAGAAAAGTCCCAGTGTTAATGTCTCCAGCCAAAGTGTGCATTCTGGATTGCATCCCATTTAACATTTGAATGTGTACAAATGTATGTCGCAAGTTTTTACGGAGGGCAGGAAGTTGCTGTTCACACTTGGGTGTTTTACTGTTGGAAACCTGCTGCATTAAGCTTAAATATTTATAGACGTACAACTGCAGATGTTACCACTAGCTTCATGGAATCTCAAAAGGGGTGAGACTCCAGTCCTTTTAGGCCATTAAAATAAGATGAGTCTTTCCTGAATAAACCTTTTCCCATAATAGAGGAAGACACTGAGGCCGTCACTTCAAGAAACTGCTCAGAAAGCTGATGTAGGATCCGCCGTCTAAGGAGAGACAGAATATTTTCAAATTGCCAGTTTCCGAGCTGTAAGCAGCACCAGTTCAGGATGGCTCAGTCACATTGCACGTGTAGAAACAGGAGACCCCAACAAAGAGATGGAATTTTTCAAACCTGGACAAGTCTGTGTCACTTAGTCTTTCACATGTGGCAATTGTCTACCAATCTGGAAAATGGGGAAAGACCTCAGTGTTGTGTGCCATCCATTCATTATAAACTAAGCAGAGGGCTTTGCCTAGGAAATTCCCGCTGGAGTCAGGCCAAGCTAGCAGGAGAAATAGGGACGCCATTGCTGTTCTCAACAGACAAGCAGCAAGTATCCTGCCAAGGCTTTCACTATTTGTCCTGGGTGTTCTTACAAATTCCATAGATATGGGCAATACTGTTTGTGTCCCTTTAATTATTTCTTGACTT